AGACTCGAAACAGGTGAACTACTTGACTAATTCCAGTACAGAACCTATAGGATGTTGCGCATGCGCGACTGAACGAATCACTCCCCGAGACGACTCGTTCTCCTCGAGTCACATTAAAGATTCGTTCAAAATGAATGAATCGTTCAAGAACGACCCAACACTAGACAACACTAGATGGGCGAGTGCGCGTGTGGGCGGGTAGAGACTCATGTGTGCGGGATGCGGGAGAATATAAGGGTGTACTCACACAAGGCAATCTTAACCGTGCCTGAGCGCGTTTGACCCCTAAAGCCCGGTTCGTTTGACTAGTGTGATCGCTCCGTGCGTTGTTCGTTTAACCGTCCCTGGCTCTGTTGGAAGAGGTGGGCCAGAGCGCGGTTCAGTTGTGCTCGGGCGCGGTACGCATTTAGTGCCGGAGCGCTGAACTTCTGATACGTGCAGCATGATTGCGTTAACATTTCTGAGCGGCAAAAGTGATAGATCTGTAAAGCAATATTTTGTGAGAGGGCCGTGTGTTACCGTGTCCCAAACGACTGAAAATAATAAACCACAAAGTTAACAAAACAATGCACTCCACTGTGCTGAGCAAGAGGCTTCTCTGCTATCTTCACGTGCTATCGGAAACTTCCTGTTTCCCACTTATGAAGTCGTGAGCGCTTCCTGTGAGCGCTGCTGCAGTCTTAGGCCCACCCCATGTGCTCTCATTGGTTGAGACGTGTGATGACACTCATCCCAAGTCAGTAATGATCAACATCCCACCCCTCCTGTGACCCATGGTTTGTCTGTATGTGTATTCAGAGCCAGTGAGCAGCGGACTTTCATAATAATAAAAAACTGCGTTAACGCGCGATAAAATAATTGTCGGAATATATATAATTATATACTGTGTGTGTGTATATATATATATATATATATATACTTTTGTGTCTTAATGTATGTTTACCTAAGCTTGTGGAAAAGCTAAGATGACCTTTGATTCAACATGTGGCTTTTTCTTTACCACCTATGTTTTATGGTGGTTGTCAGTGTATTATAAGGTACAAAACAGATTTTAATGCTGCACTAGTTTGGTACATTAACATACACGGCTCTGTGGAATACTTGATTCTGATTGGTCAGTCGCGACATTCCGAGGTCTGTTATCCCTTGATAACAACTGGTAAAAGCTGATAACACAGGCTCATCCGGGTAACTGAAGTTGGCACTATACGCTCGCTAGGAACTGTTTTTCTTTGTGGAAGCTTTGCGTTTAGTTAGCTAATAAAATATTAAAACTCGATTCAATATATGTGTGCAATTACTTATTTATGTTATCCTTGTATCGCGGACTCGCTCTCTCGTTTCATACAAACGCAGCTGCTGCCATTTTGCCACGATTGTTTTGTACACTGTAATGGATTATAAGATATAACTAACAAACTTGTAAGATTTTAAAATATTTTCGTCTTAAATCAATATCTTTTATCTCCTTAATTATTTATGTGGTGAAGTGTTGTGTAATAAGTGGTGTGACTGTACCACAGTCTTCACAGAAGCTTTGTGTTCAAATATTTCAACTCCTTTCAATATTTTGTATCTAATTATTTACTTATGTAACATGTAATAAGCGGGATAATACCTGATCACCCTGTCGGGGCTTATTCTGCGATAACAACCTGCTGGATGTACATTATCCCTTACATAATACATTTATATGCTTTATTACTGTACATTTAAGTTCAGTCCATAAAAACCTAAAATATTGCTTTATTTATTTATTTAAATAGTAAAGTTCTGGCAACCACAGGAGTATTTTTTTTTTCTCATAGCGTATATTGTAAACTTTGTATATGTTCTTAGGTCAGTGCCAGGTATCCATCTATATTAGGGCTTTGGCATTTTCAAAGCTTGTGAAATGTCATCAGAATAAGCAGTCCTCCAATTATCTGTTCAAACAAAAACCTCAGCACAGCTCTCCCAGTCTTTCTACAGCCCCGAGCTCTACTTGTAGTCTAGACAGAGAAGATCCTAAGGAGGGTGAGGGGGTCTGGGCCAGGGTCATCAGAAGCAGAGATTTCAGTCAATTTATGCACTGGCTTACGGAGAGCAGACCACCTTGCTTTTATGTATTTATATCTCCCTCGCTTTGCCTTTGGTCTTGGCTTGCTGGTTAAGATATCACGCACAGCAAATAAAGGCGGCTTTTTAGTCAGACTAAATATAGGCAGCAGAATGACAGGAGAGTTCAGATTAGCCGTCCTAGTTTTCCTGAAAATAGCACGGAGAAGAATCATTTGCAGAGATTAAGATAAATTTGCTGTCTTCTGCAGCAGTGCTCTCACCGTGTGGTATTCCAGGTCAGAAACAAGCAAACACACACTAACAAACGAACACGCAAGGGCAAACTGCAGAGCTTTCACAATATATTCCAATACACAAGGCATGCCTTGTTTCTATGTAAATTAGGTTTATTATAGATAAACCACTTTATTCATAGAAGTCATTTGCCTGGTGCAATTAACATTATTACAGCATGCTGAACATTTATTTATTTAAAAGAATGTTTGTTCATGTTTTCTATTGATCATGGCAGCAGTAATGCATTAAACAATGGAGAAAACATTATGACCAAATTCAGACACGCTGTGAAAATGAATGCTTTTTCAGCATTTAATAGATTCGATTCTGGTGACATTATTGCAGGGGTGGATTTCTGATGTACAGTCTCAGTAAAGATGTCAGATTGTGGTAGTCTGCTGTATGGCTGTAACAGCACCCAGAACCTGGACACTTTTTGGTAACACTTTATTTTGCAGTCCCCTTTATATGTTACATGTACTTACTAAAATAACAGTAAATTATGCATAATTACATGCAAGGACACTTCAAGTAAAGTGTCCTTTTTACACGTTACACTGCTATTCAAAAGTTTCACCAGGGCTTCAGTTATTTGATAAAAAATACAGAAAAACATTATTAAATAATTTTTTATATATTTTATATTTTATATATTATATAAATTATTACATTTTAAATAACTGATTTCTATTTTATATTTTGAAATGTTATTTATTCCTGTGATGGCTTTTTTTTTTTGATGA